TATTCCACATAGAGATGAGCACAGTGCCATGCACCCACACACACACAAGGATACTGGGTGAATGGATGAACAAAGGAGGAGGATGAAAATGGAATGATCATTTGGAAAATAAAAAAAGGAAAAGAGCAAGCCAGTAAGGAAAAAGCCCTGGGCTTAGGGCCAAGGTTCTGCCTCTGCTATGACCTCGGTGTGGGACCTCAAAAAGTCACTTCAACTTGCCCAGCCTCGACTTCCTAATCTGTAAAATGGAGATCATTCTTGTAAGGCCCAGGGCAGTAGTTACACTCCAATGAGGTAATGGGCTGAACACACATCGTGGGATTGTGCTGGCTGAGGAGTCAGGAAGACCTCTGCCCATCCTGGCGAGGTGACCCCAGGCCACTCTTAGCACCCTCAGTGGCCTAGGTAGCTCTCTGAGGCTAGAAGACACAAATAAGATGTCAGCCAGCACCGGAAGGGGGAGTCCCTTATACCCCTGAAATCATGGGACCAGTCGCCATGTCAGTCTTTATATCATGGGAGGAAGAGCCAGATTTGGAAAAAGAGGACACAGGTTCAGAACTCAGCTCTGCTACTTGTTGAATGACCCTGAGCAGGAGGCTTGATGTTTCTGAGTCCCGGTTATTCCAGTGACAAAATGAGGAGGTTAGACAAGATGACCTCTAATGGCCCCGGGATCTGAACTTTTTGAGGCATAACAGACGTGACAGGTACGAGCTACTGGTCTGACATTTTCTCAGCACATACCTTTGCGGCCAAGGCTCTTAAACTGTTGAGGAATCTTTGCCAAAAATCCTTAAAGAGCGGTCGATCAATTTTCTTCAGGCTATCTTTGGTGCTGGCATCCACACTGACGTATAGCTGGGTAACTGGCTCCAGGTTCCTTGGAAATGGAAAGGAAAAAGGAAAAAGAAAAGGAGAAAGGAAAGGAAAGGAAAGGAGAAAGGAGAAAGGAGAAAGGGAAGGGAAGGAAAAGGAGGAGAAGGAGAAGGAGAAGGGAAGGAAAAGGGAAAGAGAAAAGGTTACTTTTGCAAGCCTCTCATGAGGTCAAGGCTAGAGTTTTTAACAAAGGGAAATTAAACCTTTCTCCATATTCATGGGCTTCCAGCTACTCCCAGAATCCACAGGGATAGCTCTTATCCATGGTAATGCTGGCTGTCAAAAGGTACAAAAAGGTAGGAGGAAGACCTAAAATCATTCCAGAAAGATGGCAACAACGAATCAGTGAGTCAATGAATTAACTGAAATGGCATCTATTAAGCGCTTGCTCCATGCCAAGTACTGAGCTAAGCCCTGTGGATACAAAAAGAAAAAGGAGAGGTGGCCAGAGGCAGGCATTTTGGAACTTTGGAAAGTTATAGGGATAGTATGTGGAGTCACGGGAGGAGACTCCTCCCTAATTTCAAACAGCGACAAGATGACAACTAAGGTCTTACTTGAGAGGTGGAAGGGACAGCCACAGAATCCAACCCCACAGACAAGGGATCACGTTCTCCCAGCCTGAGGAATGGTTATCCAGCCTCTGCTTAAAGACCGCCATGGGTAAGGGAACTCACTGACTCCTGAGGCAAACCATCCCACTTCTGGACAGCTCTCACCGTGGGGAAGCTTCTTCTGACACTTCAAACACTTACAGACAGACATCACGTTACCCCCGCCCCAAGGCCCCCGCCCCGAGTCTTCTCTTCCTCCACAGCCAATCCCTTCCACCAGCGCTTCCATGGCAGGATCTCAAGGCCCTTCCCCATCCTGATTATCTTCCTCTGGACACTCTCCAGATTGTCAACATCCTAATGTCCTAAACTATAATGCCCAGAACTGTACATGTGATGATATAAAAGAAACTGGGGGGCAGCTAGATGGCACAGTGGATAGAGCACCGGCCCTGAATTCTGAAAGACCTGAATTCAAATCTGGCCTCAGACACTTGACAATTACTAGCAGTGTGACCCTGGACAAGTCACTTCACTCCAATGCCTCAAAAAACAAAAACAAAACTGGGCCTAAGTTGAGGCTCAAGCATGAAAATTTCTGCCTACCCCTCCCTGGCTTCCTTTAAACTAATGGAACTAAATCCCAACTAAAATCCCACCCTCTATGGGAAGGCTTCCCCAATCCCTCTTAATTCTAGGGCCTGCCCTCTATTAATTATTTCCTATTTATCTGGCATATGGCTTGTTTCATACACACACACGTCTCCCCCGTTAGATTGTAAGGTCTTTGAGGGCAGGGCGGGGACTGTCTTTCGCTTCTTTTTGTATCTCTAGCACTTAGCACAGTGCCTGGCACATAACAAGAACTTGATAAATGTTTAGTGATTGAATCATTTCATTGTTTGACCACCAAGGCACACCTGCAGGCATCCCAGTAATACTGAGAAGCCCCAGGGGACAAAAGTTAATGCAACCAAAACAGCTGCCATGTCCAAGACCTGGTACTGCTGAAAAAGCCTCTTAGACCAACAGGGTCAAGTCAACTCACGTCAATTCAACAAAGAATCATTAAGCTTCTATTAACATGAAGACCTTTCTGCAAGGTCCCAGAGGTAGGAAAAAGAATACGATACGGCTCCTGACCCAGTGGGGCTTGCGAACAAGCAGTGGGGGCACAGCCACTGCCCAAATCACTCTTAACAAAAAGGGGAAGGGGACAAGTGCTTCAGAAAGGCACAAATGATGTGTTCAGCAAGGAGGATGCAGAGAGATCTCTTCCGATAAAAGATTCTCTGTCTACGCTTCCTAGGCCCCTCTTGACAAGATCAGCTGTTCCCAGGTGAGTCACCAGGAGAGTAATTTTGACTGATGATTTTGATTATTTGAACTCCTAAAACTGCTCACAAATAGATACTTGTGTTCTCTTAGCTTTCACTCACTAAAAGTTAAGATAAACAAATCCTGTAAGCAAGTGAAAAAATCTGCCAACTAATGATGTGAACCTATCCGCAAAGCCGGTATACAGATGGAACTCTTGCAAGGATCAGGAATATTATTCTATTTGCCAAACACACAAAGGAATGGCACGCCATTACTTTAAAAAACCATTAGTCCGTCTTATCGTCCTTACACAGGCACTTCATCCATTTGGGTAACAAGCTATGCTACCTTAACTCAACAATATTTTTGTTTTTTAATGGAAAGGTTACAGAATGCCAGTCTAAATGGATACTTGCTACTGACAATGAAAGGTGTTTATCTTGAGGGTGCCTGGTGGAAAATGAGAACTATTTCATCATAACTACTTGGGTTGTGAACAGTAAAATCCAGGAGAGGTGATTATTTAACAATCAGTCTCTTCTCTAGTACTTATCGGAGAAAAAGAGATGCCCGTATATCCAAGGCAATGGCCACACCAGAGAGTTCCCTGTCTGGAACGATCATTCCTAAGGAAGACTACCAGAGACTGTCATCCCAGTCAAGGTAAGACATATTTATGGATGAATTCTAAGACTGACACGGTGCAAACAAGGTAACCCTTGATGCAGATGGCAGGAGAACAGAGGAGCACAGAGGGAGGTAATCCTTGGAGACATTTCACTCAGATAGGGAGGCTTGCTAAGAAATAGAGAGATAACTGTTGTGGGGTGGGGAGGTCTGGCTGCCGGCAGAAGAAAGAGAAGGTCTGAAGGGAATAGGATGAGCCTCCTTGATTTCATCTCTGCCTAGCAATTGCTTCACTGCTATTCACAAGGAAGAAGCTATTCATTTGCCTGTCTTGCCTTATTATTGTAATCCAAAAGACAGAACGAAATCATTTTAATTAAAAAGTACAATCTGAAAATTACCATAATATCCCATACAGTTATATTTAACACCTATGTGACAGGCTCTCAAAACGTTTATAGAATTTTACATTTCAGACCTGCTTACAGTTGATCCCTGAGATAAATGAATGAGGAGTACAGAAAAAGGACAGCAGGGTTCCCAAACCAAAAGCCAATCTCCATTAAAAAAAAAAAATTACAAATCTGAGCATGATTGTTTCAATGACATGCATACTGATAAACTCAAATCACTGAGTTGCTAGCAGTCATTTATTCTTGCAACAGCAAGACCAATGCTTTCGCGACTATTCAAGACACTGGGTTGTCTTCCATCCCATGGAGGATATGGCCACACACAAACAAGACTATGATGTCCCCAGTTTCACTGGTCGGTGGAAAGAAACCCAAGCAAAAAACCAAATATGCAATTACTACTCATGAAGGCAATGATAATGGTGATTAGGTGATGATTCTCTATTGCTACAAGGATTAGAGAATACTTTCCCCATTCGGTCTCATTTGGTTATAAGTAAAAACTAGGCCACAGATAGTAAAGTCTAATGAGGAAGGAGGCTGCTGCAGGTACCCCCCTGGACTGTGACCTTCTTTAGGGCAGGGATACAGCTGTGATTGGACAGCTGCCAAGCCAGATGCAACCATGACTTAGTCTGGCATATCAATTCAGGCACTAACAGGTGGGGTAAAAATAGAACGATGTTTGCTATTATTGTGAGGAGTAGCAAATACATGTTGCTCTCTCAGGCTAATGATGGGACATGGGAGGGAGGCTATGGGTTGATAGCACTACACTGGTGATTTAAGGGATAAAAAGTCACAAGTCCTCAGTTCACATGCCTCTCAGAGGCAGAGGAAACAAGGAGTTCCCAGGTGGCATCATGAGATTGTTTTCTGTCTCATATCTTTACAACCAGAGTCCCTGCGCTAGAGTCTGGTCCCTGCAGAAAGTTAGACTTGACGGGGGTCTGGGGTAGCCAAGGGTACTTATGAGGACAATGAACATAGGAGCTATTCCCAAGGCCTCTCAGAGGTGGTACCTTCCATAGATAAAAGGTATGCGGTCTGAGACAAAGCCTCCAAGAACTCTGAAGAGCTAAAACTCAGAATGGTAGGGCTGAGGAAAAGCACTGGCTGGACAAACTAAATCAGGGAGGCCTGCTTGTCCCACAACTGGGGTGGTAGCTCAAGAAGTCCATGCTACAGTCTGATCAAAAGGACTCAGCTCCTGACAAAGGTGATGGACTTGGGGCCAGAGAGAGACAGACATTTCTGGACGTGGCCAATGAATTTGTTCTATACACATTTGTGACAAGGGTTTCAGTTTTTCTTTTTCTTTTTCTCCTTAAAGCATGGGGAAGACTATGGAGGCAGAGCCAAGAGGGCAAAAACCCAAGCCAGAATCCAGCCAAACTCTCCCAACATTCCCTTCCAAACAACTTTAGCATAATGCCTCCATCAGATTTTGGAGTGGCAGAGCCAACAAAAGCTCAGAGACAGACAGTTTTCCCACCTAAGACAACCTAGGCGGTCCAAGACAGTGGCAACAGCAGCTTCGGGAGCTCTCCAAGTTGGTAAGGAGAATGGTCAGAAAGAGATTACAGGGGACCCTTTGTTGGCACTGATTGGCAGCTCTGCTGCCCATAAGCAACTCGGGGTCACAGTTGCAGGGCAGAAAGGAGCATTTGTGGTCACTCACAAGGGAGCAGGGGCCCTGGTCACTGTTCCAGAGCCAAGAGGAGTGCTAGCACTTGTAGCTGCAGAAGAGAAGAGGTCCTTCTTTGGTAAAGACCAGAGCACAGGCCAAGAGAGCAGTGACCATCCCTCTCCCCAGATCACACCAACTTGGAAACAGCAAAAACTTGCAGACCCCTAGAGCTAGTTCTGAAAATGGCAACACAGAAAGACCCTGAAGCTTGACACAGTACTTCCCCAACCCCAGGGTGAACAGAGCCAACTTTAACATAAAATTCCAAGTGAAGAAAGAGGCTGAGAAAATGAACAATCAATAACAAAAAAATAAAATAAAATAACTTGACCGTAAAAAACTATTACTGTGGCAGGGAAGACCAACACAAACTTAAAAGACAACAATGTGAAAACAGCTA